ACACGTGGGGCTCGGCCTCCTCCGCAGCCCCGGGCCCGGGGCTTTCCGGGCCGGCGCAGGGCGGGAAAGGAAACTGCAGGCTGGAGAGCCGTGGGCTGCTCTTCGGCGGCCTGGCGGTCTTCCTCGCTGCCTCTCGCGGGAGAAGGGGAAGGTGAGGCCGGAGGCCCTGCGGGCGCTGTCTGCTGACTGCGGTCGGCCGTGCGTTCGGGGTACGGGCAGGGGGCTGCTTGGGCTACTCGGCCTCCGGGGTGCACAGGGGATTGGGGGCGCTGTGAACACGGAGAGTGGAGTGATCGCGTCTCAGCTTGTTAAATAATTTCTGGTCTCTGCCCGAGGCCCTCCCCAGCCTGAGAAAATTGGCCCAGGGTTTTTTCTGTGATTGGGTTATACTTACCGTGGCACCGGGGCATTTTGAAAGTCCCTCTCCTCCCTTACGTCTTTTCTCCGCTGCGCGGCTCTTCCCTTCCCTTTTCTCTCCTCCCCCCTTTTTATGTTGGAGGCTGGAATTGGGCAGTTCTCCACAGTTGTCCAGGTCTCCAGCTCTGATCTCATACGCAAAATATTTTAATAATAAGGGGACGTTTTCTAGAAGTTTGGGTACTTTGGACACTCGAGGAGTGTTGGTGATGGGGTAAAGTAGCGGCCATAAGCTCTTAGATGTTCAGAATTATAAAAAGGAGTTCATTCTAATTGTAAACGAGGCGTTTGCTTTCGACAGTATTCAGTTTAAATGTTATTTGTTGTGTTGAATAGGAAAATCTTAAAGATCTATTTTAAGTCACTTAAACTTCTGAATGGCATAACGTAGGTAAGAAGTATGTTTTAAGCTTGCTAAGAAGCACAAAAGTACAGTAAAAAGGTTGATAACTTGTTGCATACTGTTAGAGGTAGAGTTTTTAGATTACTTTATTCTAGATAACATTGGACACTTACAACGTTTTGGTGGTTTGATACCATTAACAGATTTTTTAAAGCGTTGAAGGAAAGTCTTGAATAGTAAAATCTGTGGTTTATGTATTAAGTAGCGCTGTACCAGAATTAAACACCTGAACTTTACTACCACTCAGTTTTCCCCCAGATACGTAGAGAAAGTGCTTGGTTTTCGAACATTTTTTTCTCTTTTCTTTCTTTGTTTTTATTCGAAAACAGATTTAAAATTAGAATTCAGGTCACAATCCTGGCCATTTAATCTCACCCAGACTTCTGTAGAGTGGAAGTTAGATATACGTGCTTTCTGTGTCTCCTAAAGATGTCTATGAGTGCTTTGTTAGATCTTTGGCTATATACAGAGAAATGAAATTTTTTGAACTATGGGATAGTCTGAACAAAGTTTACAAGGGAGCTAATATATTCTGAGTGGGAGAAGGTACAATCACTGCTTATTTTAAAATGTACTTACGATTAAAAAATTACTTAGATTTAAAGTGTACTTTGATATGCTTTAAAGAGATGATGCTTTAGGAGCATGATACTTAAAATCCAAGTTGTTAGAGTTGGTATGGTTGCAGGCCGTGTAGTTTTGTTTTGGATCTTGATAATGTATCATTGCCCCCTGTCTAAGAGACTTTTGGCTTCTTGCCCCAGCCATTTAATTGAAGAATAAAGGACATTGGATTGGGATTAAAAATGTTTTGGGGTTTCTTTATGAACACTATAGGAGGTATTTAATACTGACAGAAACTACCAAAGAAAGGTATTCAGGGATATGTGAAAGGGTACTCTCCTATTTATTGATTTTTCTTTTCATTTACAAATAAGGACGTTTTTTACTCTTACTGGAACTTTGGTGGCCCTGCTTGCTGTCTACTAACCTAGACCTAGGCTGTCAACTAGATGTTTTGCAGCAGCTGCTGAGTCATCATGAATAACAAGGAGCTTCGTGACATGGCATGTTTCATACTGTGCTATTTGATGAAGTATCCTGGGGTTTCTGGGCAAAAATGAGGTGTTTGGTTGTGTAGTAGAAGGTTGGACTGAGATGTCTGGCACTGTTACTGACGGAGGTTTGCCAACCTGTCAGCCTAACTGGCTAGTGTAGTCCCTTGGTACCTGTGACTTTTGCATATGTTCATTTGACTTGTAATTTCCTGTTTTGACTTCTGGTTTAGCTCTGCAGGGAAGTTTAACATTTTCTCCTTTAAATTTCTGTTCTTTAAAATGTCATTGTGCTTGAAGTAGTGGAGAGAGAGAGATCCTTTCTATTGTTCGACTTACTGAAGGGTAGTAACTCCTAAGAACTGTAGAAACAAAAAGGAAGAATAGCTCTGAACATGCAAGTTGATTGTTTTCATTTGCCTGCTCTTCCACCGCTTTACCTTTTAGCCCAGGCACTTTCATAAAGGAATGGTGTTATTTTTCTAGTTCGGAGGGAGCGAGTCACTAAAGAGAATGTTCTTGTCACCTGTTCAGTCTCCTTTCCCGGTTCATTTTTTGTGTAGTTCTCTGGGGAGGTCAAGCTGGTTGTTTTTCTTAATAGCCACTACACAAAACTTCAGCACATGGGCAAGTCAGAACCTTGCCTCTGGTAGAAACTACTGCCACCTCCTGGTAAGAGGGTACTACTTATTTTTTTTCCCCTTTTTGGGTGCGTAGTTTGTCTTCTGGTTTAGAGCCAAGGGAATCCACTTTTAATCCTAGATAGAGTTTGTATCTTACAAGTTAGTTTCCACATTTAATTAATTTTAAAAAGGAGAAAAGAAGAAAGTATCCCCTCCATCCATAGTTTACATCAGGTGTTGAATTGTTTTCTATAAAGGAATGCAAAGTAAATTTTAGATTCTGTACTGCCAGTTCTGTGTTTTCTTTTTATAACCCTTTAGCAGATGTCAACACCGTTCTTAGCCTATGAAAGAACTGACCAAAGGCTAGATTTGCCCCGTGTACCACATTTTGCTGAACCCTGGTTTATATGGTAGCATGGGTTTTGTTTGTTTTGGTACTTTGCCCCAAATAAGTTACATCCTGCCTGATAGCTCCTGGTTAAAATTGTTCTCAGTTTTGAAAAGGAGGGATATGTAAAGGCTGAACATTTAATTCATTCTGGAAGTTACTAAGTTTGTCTTTGGTTTATGCTAGATGCTTAATACTATCAGTAGATAAGGAAATGGTAACAGTTGGAAAAATATACTCTAAAAGAATTACGCTGTTTTAGTTTCTACCCTGCCTTGACTTGGACATTTTAAATTCTGCTTAATTTTTTCATTTGTAAAATGAAAGTTGTTGTGAGGGTCAAATGAGATAATACAACCAGAGCTTTTAGAACAGAATCTGGTATATATAGTTAAGACTCGTTTGAAATTGTTATGATGAAATGGGGCATTTGGATTTAAACATCTTTACATTATCTCTAAATTTTGCAACCTCTTAACCTGTTTCTCCACTGGTACCCAAGTTCCTTCATAAATATAAATATAATCCAGTAGGATTTAACATCTGTGTGTTTGCTGGATGAGGCCAAAACTTAAACTAGTAGAAAAATATATTCAGGTTTTAAAACTATTGAATATAAAGAATGTTTTTTGTTTATGATGACAGACCCTTATGTGATATTTTATGTTTATTTGCCAGTTTTTTCCCTTTTGTGTTTTTTGAGACAGGGTCTTACTTTGTAGTCCAGGCTGGCCTTCAAGTCATGATCTTCTTTCCTCAGCCTCCGAGTGCTTAGATTAGAAGCATGAGTGACCGCACCAGGTCCTTACTAGCCAATTTAGCAAGATACATGACATAAGAGCACAGGTGATGTTGCCATGATCTGGAAATGGAAAGTCCTCTGACAGTGCAGGTATATACTACTTTGAAGTAAAATAAAAACTTAAGACCGTAACGATTCTGCACTTTAAATACAGTTTTTATTTGTAGCTACTTAGCTTATGGTCATGGTTGGAGTATATTTTTTAATTCTATGTATTAGCTGGGCAAGGTGCATGACTATAATCCTAGCTGGATAGGAGGCTGAGGCAAGGGGATTACAAATTTGAGACCAGCCTGGGCAGTGTTTTGAGACTTTGTCTCAATTTGTTTAAAAAAAAAAAAAAAAAAAAAAAAAAAAAACCAAGAATGTAGCTCCTAGTAGAGACCCCTGGATTTGGTCCTCAGTACCATCATCACCAGCACACCACCAAAAAAACCCAAAACAAACAAACAAGCTAACAACTGGGAAGCCTGTTTAAATTCCTGCTGCCAGATACAATTTATTATCAGAAACCTGCCTGGCATGGTAACACACACCTTTAATCTCAGCACTGTGGAGGCTGAGGCAGGAGGATTACCATGAGTTTGAGTCCAGTCTGGGATACATAGTGAGTTTAAGACCAGCCTGAACTACATAGTGAGAGTCTTGTCTCAAAAAACAACGCAAAACAAAACTTACTATCAGAAACTGGATGATATGTTATGTTTCCTATTAATAGTTCAGTTTTGTTAATTTTCTTGATTTTACTTACTTTTTCATACTGTGATTTAAGAAATAAATGCTTACCCCCAGTTTCAAACATGTTACTTGAGAAAAGTGTGACAGTATCTTATAAGTACTTTTTAATGGGTTTAGCTGCTTTAGGCTTTTCGTGGGTCGTATTTCTCCCATTTAAATTTTGTAGCCAATTGTAGGCTTTGAAATCTTTACCCAGCAAAGTATTTTAAGTGACTGCAGGGCTTGAATTGGTAAACTTGGCTGCTGAGTGCCTCATAGTTTATAAAATATGACAGTACTTTAGATTTGGAAGTTAAATTCAGATTACCGAAACTAGATTTGGTTGTAACTGTATTAGAACCTGAGTACTTAATGTTTTTTCTCCTCATAGAAATTAGTTACCATTATAATAGAGACCTTAGTAAATAAAGTTAGAATAAGGATATTTATGTGTGTATGTACGTATGTATGTATGGTCTTTTTGAGACAGGGTTTCCCTATGCAGTTCAGGCTGCCCTCGAACGCACTTTGTAGCCCAGGCTGGCCTCGAACTCGCAGCGATCCTCCTGCCTCAGCCTCCCGAGTGCTGGGATTACAGGTGTGTACCACCATACCCAGCTGTAAGAGTATTTATAAAATCACTAAATACTGAAAGATTAGAATGGCATACAGGAGTATACTCTTTGGTGTTTTACTATTTGGTTGTATAAGATTATTAAGACTCTAGGTGGTCTCAGGTTCTTCACTTGAGGTTGGAGGTAGCAAAGGAGAAAATTGATTTGGAAAACTATACAAAATAAAACTCTCAGAAGTGTTCAGGAAAGGCAATCTAGTGACATGGCAATTAAATGGATAGGAAAAGTGTTTGCAGAACCCTGGAAGAAGACTCCTAAGGTTAGTGACAGCCTGTAGTGCAGTATGGGTACCCACAGAAAAAGTAGAAATTAAAATAGTTGAGTATTTTGGGAAAATAGGGCCCCAGAAAAATAAAACTGATAATGGACTGTATTTGGTTTTTACAGTTATTACCTTAATAAGGAAGAACACATAGGCCGGATGTGGTGGTGCATGCCTGTAATCCCAGCACTGGGGAAGCTGAGGCAGGAGGATGTTGTGAGTTCAAGGCCAGCCTGGGCTACAAAGTGAGCTCAAGGCCAGCCTGAACTGCATAGCGAGACCCTGTCTCAAAGAGAGAAAAAAAGGAAGGACACATAGGAAGGATGAGGAGTTGATCATATTGGAAAGATGTTTGGTGAAAAATTTTCTAGAAATGAATTTAGTTTTAATCACAAATACATTGGGGGGTGGTGGGTTTCTGGTACTGGGAACCTAATTTACGACCTTGCGCTTGCCAGGCAGGCACTGTGCCGCTGAGCTAAATCCCCAGCCCCAATCACAAATACATTCTGAGTTAGTGTTGCAGAATAGCCCTTTATCCTCCCCAGTTGTCTTTCATTAATCCTTGAAGTCAGGTTAAACATAATTTGAAAAGCTAATATATTCACAGTGCTGTACATATTGAATGTACTTGATATATATGTAGTACTGGTTTTAACATCTGGTTCCCAAATGGATTGTTTTAACTATTCTGAACTCCTGTGCGCACCCTGCACCCCTTAATCTGGTCTGCCAAATGAAGAAGAACTCTTACTTCTGGGGAGAGGAGACTCAGTAGATGTATCGAGGCCAAATTTAAAAATTTTCTCCTTTAATCCTTGAATTTAACCTCATTATTTCTGGTTATCTGATACAGACTGCGCAGAGTGCCACAGGGAATACTTTAAAGACTTGAATGCCATGTATTTTTCCTAAGCACTTCAATAATTTTGCTTTTTTTGACTTTCTTTCCGCTTTTCTTCAATT